ACTTGCAAGGTCTGGCAGCATCTGTGGAGAGAAAGTTGAGTTAAAATTTTGGATCCAGTGACCCTTCTCCAGAACTTCTGTTCAGAAAGGATGCAGGCAGACCCACTGAGTTTTTCCAGCAATTTCTGATTTTTAGCATCCAGAATTCTTTGCATTGGTTAACTTGAGGAATACCTTCACACCTCTTCTTTCACAGAAATATCTGCCAACTAACTCAATCACCTAACCTCCCTTCACTTTGTATGTGCTTATTACGCAAACAGAAATAAAACTGACAACAATGAAGAATCTGAGATAATAAGGTGTAGAGCTGGATGAACACAGCAGGCCAAGCAGCATCATAGGAGCAGGAAGGCTGACGTTTCGGGCCTAGACCTTCATGTGCTGGTTTCTGTTTATGTGGTTTAGGTATCGCACTTAAGCCGCAGGATCAGGCTTACCACATTACCCAGTGGCTAGAGTCGAAACAACATAGTTTAATTTAGATGAATGCATTTTGGTAAAACAAACAAGGGCAGGACTTATACAATTAAAAATAGGGCCTTGGGTAGTGTTGTAGATCAGAGGGAGCTGAGATGGTGGGGCGGGGGGAGCGGGGAAGATACATAATTCTTTGAAGTTTGGATCACATATAGACAGGGTAGTTAAGAAGGCATTTAGCACACTTGCTTTTATCGCTCAGTCCTTTGAGTATAGAAGTTGGGTCATCATGCTGAGGTTGGACAGGACGTTGGTGAGGCCTCTTCTAGGATACTGTGTCCATTTCTGGTCGCCCTGTTATCAGTAAGATATTATTAAGTTGGAGAGAGTTCAGAAAAGATTTACGAGGATGTTGCCAGAAATGGTGGGTTTGATTTATAAGCAGAGGCTGGATAGGCTGGGACCTTCTTAACTGGAGCATAGGAGGTTGAGAGGTGACCCTCTGGAGTTTTATAAAATCATGAGGGGTATAGAAAAGGTGAATAGCAGTTTCTGTTTCCCTGGGGTGGGGGATTTCAAGACTGGGGGCATATTTTTATGGTGAGACGTGAAAGATTTTAAAAAGACTTGAGGGACAATTTTATTACACAAAGGGTAGGTCATGTGTGGAATGAATTACCAAAGGAAGTGATGGATGTAGGTACAGTTACAATGTTTAAAGGACATTTGGATAAGGACATGAAAAAGAAATGTTTGGAGGGATGTGAGTGAAACGCAGGCAGGTGGGACTGGTTTAGTTTGGAATTATGGTCAGCATGGACTGGTTGGACTAAAGGGTCTGTTTCTGTGCGGTATGACTGACCTCGCTCCTCAGGTAGTTATGCTGCTGTTGCTGTTCACCCCAGGTTCGCTATGAGTGACGCCACTCCTGAGGTACTTATCCTGCTGTTCACCCCCAGGTTTGCTCTCCTTCACTTTGTTCTGTTGCTGTCACTGTGCAGACTGACTGTTCTTATTGCAGTCTGACTCGTGCCTTGTATAGTTTTAACGAAATTTCCCTTACGCTCCATTCCCTTTGCAATAAAGGCCAACATTCCATTTGCCTGCTTTTTGTTATTCACGGACATGGCAGGTTTATTAAATTCCCTGTTACCTAGCTCCCCCAACAATGCAGCTTCCCCCTAGTGTTACACATGTCTGTTAACTTAGAGCACGTTCTCAGGCCTACAGCAGGGATAAACCGATACAAGAAGTTACATTTATATAGCCCCTTTAACAAAATAAAAAGCCCCAGGTACATCTGCAAGTTCAATTGGCAGTTAGGGAAAGCAAATGCAATGTTAGCATTCATTTCAAGAAAGCTAGAATGCAAGAGCAGGGATATACTACTGAGACTGTGTAATGCTGTGCTTAGACTGCATTTGGAATATTGAGAGTAATTTTGGCCTCCATATCTAAGGAACAATGTATTGGTGTTAGAGGGGATCTAGAGGAGGTTCACAAGAATGATCCTGGGGATGAAGGGCATGTCATGCGAGTCATGGTTGGGTCAGTGCTCGATGGAGTTTAGAAGGATGAGGGAGATCTGATTGAAACTTACAGAATACTGGGAGACCTGGACAGAGCAGACATGGAGAAGATGCTTCCATTAGCAGGACAGACTAGGACCTGAGTGCACAGGGTGAAGGGATGACCCTTGAGAACTGAGATGAGGAGGAATTACTTCAGCCAGAGGGAGTTAGGGAGGATGGTGATTTAAGCAAAATCCCACAATGGGAATACATTGATCCTGCTCCCTAGTTAAACGTTCCAGTTCCGAGATGGAAATTGGGTAGCAGCTATGCATGTGAGCTCTTGCCCGGGGCTCGTCCGCTCCCATCTGCTTTCTTGCTTTTTTTCCTTTTTACTTCTGCTCTTTTTCTTTCTTCTTTCCTTCAATGGGTTAGTCAGCAGCATCAGAGCACCAGCGAGGGGAGGCCTTGTGCGGAGCAGTCTCCCTGCGGTTGGAAGCATCAGTAGAGGACTCTTCAAGATGGCAGTGCCAGCAAGGCAACATCTTTCTGAGGAGGGTGGCCGGAGCAGGACTCTCGGCACTGCAGCTGAGCCGGGGACTCCTGGTTGCAGTAGGCCCAGAGTGGGGATTCCTGGTATCGCCGAGGTGGCAGCAGAGCCAGGGACTCCTCTGTGCTGCAGAACTCGCTCCCCGCTACCTGCGGCAGGGCAGGATCACTCTGTCATACTGCCATCGCTGCACATGTATGGGAGGCCGAGCCCACTCTTGCCCCACTGAATTCGCCAAAAAAGGGACCTTCAAAGAGAAAAGAAGAAACAAAGACAGAAAGAGAAGCAGAGAAAGAAAGAGCAAAAGTGAAAAAGAAGAAAAGAAATGAAACAAAGGATGCAGACGGAAGAAGATGAGCCCCGGACCAGGAGTTGCTACTCTACCGCCATCTTAGATATACCAGGAAGGGGCAAGTGGAAGCAGCTTGCTGTAAGAAGCGGCAGATTGCAGAGAAAACTACTAATTGACAAATATTGCAGCATATTCCACCGAATGCAGAATTGAAACTGGTCTCTTTCGCACAGACAAGTCATACACCCATACCTCACTTCTCCAAGTTCCATAAACCTTCAAATGCTCCGAGAAAGCAAAAACATTACGCAGTCAATGGTCATAAATGCGGAGAAAAAGCAGATTTTTTTTTTATTATGTATTCATGGGATGTCGGTGTCACTGGATAGGGCCCATCCCTAATTACCCAGGGTGCAGTTAAGAGTCAACCACATTACTGTGGGTCTGGAGTCTCATGTAGGCCAGACCAGGTGAGGATGACATTAGTGAACCAGAATGTTACCTGGGTTTTTGGATTAATAGTTTAGCAATAATACCACGAGGCCATCACCTAGTCTCATTTTCTCTCTTCCACTGTTATCACATTAACCGCTAGCTAAAGCATGTATTGCTTAGCAAATGAAGCATCACTTGATAAAATTCACGGTTGAACTGTGTCATGGGTGGGAAATAAATTTCAAACAGGAGTGGGTCCACTTATTAAGTCACTTATATAAATGATATTGGTGTGAATAAAGCAGGTATGGTTAGTAAGTTTGCAGGTAGAGTTATTCAGCACGGTCCAACTTGTTCACACAGACCAGACATCCCATCCTGACCTCGTCACTTTTTCCAGCATTTGGCCCATATCCCTCTAAACCCTTCCTATTCAGGTACCCATCCAGGTGCCTTTTAAATGTTGTTATTGTACCAGCCTCCACCACTTCCTCTTGGCAGCTCGTTCCATACACACACCACCCTCTGCATGAAAAAGTTACCCCTCAGGTCCTTTTAAGTCTTTCTCCTCATACCTTAAACCCATGTCCTCTAATTTTGGACTCCCCCACCCTGGGAAAAAGACCTTATCTATTCACCCCATCCATATGCCCCTCATGATTTTGTAAATCTCTATGAGGTCACCCCTCAACCTCTGTTGGTCCAAGGAATAAAGCCCTTGCCTATTCAGCCTCTTCCTCTAATTCAAATCCTCCAGTACTGCTCACATCACAGGTGGTGTAGTGGGCAGTGAAGAAGGTTCTCTCAGAGTACAATGGGACTTTGCTCAGATGGGCCAATGGACCAAGGAGTGGCAAATTGAGTTTAATTTAGATAAATGTGAGGTGTTGCATTTTTGGTAAGGCAAATCAGGACAGGATTTGTACAGTAAATGGTACAGCTCTGGACAGTGTTGCCAAACAAAGTGACCTAGGGGTCCAGGTGCATAGTTCCTTGAATGTGGAGTCACAGGTAGACAGGGTGATGAAGACGTTGCCTTCATGGGTCAGAACATTGAATACAGGAGTTGGGATGTCATGGTTGTGACTGTACAGGATGTTAGTGAGGCTACTTTTAGAATACCATGTAAAATTCTGGTCACCCTTCTACTGGAAGGATGTTGTTAAACTTGAGAGCCTTCAAAAATGATTTACAAAGACGTTGCTGGATCTGGAGGGTTTGAGCTATAGGGAGAGGCCGAATAAGTTGAGGCTATTTTCCCTGGAGCATTGAAGACTGAGGGGTGATCTTGTAGAGCATTATAAAATAATGAGGGGCATATATAGGGTGAATAGTCAAGTTCTTTTTCCTAGGGTGGGGAGTCCAAAACTAGAGGACATCGGTTTATGGCGAGAAGGGAAGGATTTAAAAAGGACCTGACCTGAGGGGTAACTTTATTTATGCAGAGGATGGTGCATGTATTGAATGAGCTGCCAGAGGAAGTGGTGGAGGCTGGTTCAGTTCCAACATTTCAAAGACATCTGGATGGGTATAGGAATCAGAAGGGTTTAGAGGGATATGGGCCCAATGCTGGCAAATGGGACCAGGCCAGATTGGGATGTCTGGCTGGCGCTGATGAGTCGGACTGAAGGGTCTGTTTCCATGCTGCATGAGTTTATGACTTTAGGTGGTCTTTGATATTGCAGGAGACATAGTCGGACAGCTAGAAGGGTGTTGTGGCAATATTATAACTTCAAAATATAAGTTGGACTTGGTGCAGATGCAAAATATATTTACGCAGCAGACTGTAGGAAAAGTTATAGAAAATTATCTTTTAATACAACATAAAATTGTGTTGAAAATTCCCTTTTGTTAAAGCTTATCCATAAACAATATCATTTTAAATGAAAATCATAAAAAGTAATCAAGCCCACATCTCCCCCACACTGAAAATAAACATCTCTTCTATATTTACAGATAAATCATCATTCAAGGCACTGAGTTTTTCTTTAGCCTTCAACTTAAGCCGGCAATCAACAGCTTTGTCCATTCGATAGACATCGGACCTTGGTTAGTTTACACAACGTTAGCATGGCACCTCCTCAAATTTGAGATAAAATGAGTATTCTTCCAGTGTTTTGTACAGAATATTCTTTCAGTTTAGCTTCTATAAACTGAACAGCCTTCACTTTGGTGTACACACACATATATCGCTGATTATTTTAGAGGGATTCACAAAAGATGGATTTCCTCTTTGTGACTAACAATTGAGAAAAAAAACAAATCACAGAACTACATTTTATATATAAAAGTGACAAAACATAGCCTCTCCCCTCTTTGAGTGTGCAAATTTGTTTGTGATTAATCGAACAATTATCTACACAGAACATACAATTGCCATTGCAAATAGAAAACACTATTAAACTATTCACGTATTTCTTTATCATTAACTTGACTCATGCAGCAAAAAGAATGGTGTTTACCCAAAACTGGCTACACAGAACACTTCAAATAGCGGTTTCAGTCTTTAAAGTCTGACTGGATTAGCATTGTTCAGAGACTTTATAGTTCAGCCTGTTTTGTCACAGCCGGCAGAACAGTTCACTGTCGACATGGACAACAACAGACTCAGACAATTGGAAAGGTAGGCACTTTGAGATTTCCTTCATTTCAGCTAAAACCCTTCACAGATTGAGCGTAAACAATGGAAACACTTAATTAGAGACTCCTTGGGCTTGTTAACTGTATCAGGAGACAACAGTCAGTGCAAAACTAAAATTAGGAGAGAAGCTTTCAATGTTAGAAAAAGAGCAGAAGAAATTAGTATTGTGTATGGACTCACCAAAGTTACAGGGTGTTACTGACATGAGGAGCACTGAAGATAGTCACAGGAAAGAAGAGAGCAACGAGGAAATTGTCATCTTCAGTTTGAAAACCGATGAGTTTGAGAATTGATGGCCTTCTTTCTCCGTCTCTGGTGTGGGACATAGGTACCTCCTTTGCCAGGTGGCTGTAGAATTGAGAGGGTGCTGTCTTCAGTTGGGGTCATGAGGAGGGGAGGTGGAGGAGATGGTGAGGAAAACGGAAATGGGTTGCACTCCTGTCATCATCACTTCCCCACCTCAGTACAAAGCATCATCTGTGGAGATTTCAGGGACAAGTGGGCAGCTGAGGATTGTCTAGTCCTCCAAGGTGAAGGATAATGACAAGTAGAATAATGGCCCCATGCTGGACTGTACGGTGGAATCAATGATTCCTCTCAAATGAATTCCTTTCTGATGGGGGCAAAGGTCGTCACATATATTAAAAAAAAAAGTTGATACAGTGCCAGCATCGTCTTCCGGATTAGCTTTTGTCACCACAGTTCGAGGTGATTTGTCTTCTGCTGACCACCTTGGTATCTTTATCAGGAGTGAATATTTCACAACACAGGAGGCTGAATATACCAGAGAGGCTATTTCAATGCATCTCCATTCATATGGTCCAACAGCAGAGCAAGGAAACCACAAAGAAAAATACTTTCAAGTGGTATTAAGCATGACATTCAAAACTGAACAGCAACAGAACTTTCCAGATAAACATGTGGGCTATTCCGAACCATCTGTTTCAGCTTCAGACTTCCCCTGTGCCAAGTACAAACCGACATACTATCTTTGTTTGTATTTTTAAAGAAAACGTTTTAAAAGAAAATGAAGGTGGAAGTTTTGCCAACGTCAGCTGGTCATATCATCAGCTCATTGCCAGCATAATTTGCACAGGGAAGGCTTCTTAAAAGCAAGGTGTTCATCTTTGGGTTCTACGTTGCCTAATGCAGAAGGCTGACAAAATGGCAACCTTGAGCCGTCACGCGCACGCACTTGTAATGATGCCCTCTGAAAACATGATGCCATTGAAACGGTTCCATGCTGCTCGGGGTTCCAGTCATTGGCAAGGTCTTGAGTTGTGAATAAATATCGGATCAAATGAATCCAACAGGGGGAATTCACAAAGAAGGGTATTTACCTAAATAAAAAACTGGCAAGTGTGTGAAACCTATTACCATGAGCAGTAGATGAGCTGAATAGCAAAATCATAGAGAAGCTGGATAAACATAAGAGGACAAAAGAAATTGAAGGTTATGCTGATACAGTTGGATGGAGAGCATGGGAGGTGGCTTGGTGGAGCATTAACCATTATCATCAGTTGGGCCAAATTGCTTGTTTCTGTCATAAACTCTATGAAAGAACTGAGTGAAACACACGTCTTAAAAGTCATGTTTTTACAGGCATTTTACAGAAGCAAAACCAGCATTCTGAATACTGTAAACGCGTTTAAGATGGCAGTAAAATGCGAACATGTTTAATCACTGAGCATCAACACTGTTTCTGGGGGAACATGGCTGTTTGGTGACTGGGGTCCCAGGCCTTGTTGTACGATAATTCAGATCATGGAACCTAATAAATCTCTAACGATGCTGGTTTCACTCAACTCTCATTAAATGCCCGCAATACTTCCTCAGCGCTGGTGACAACAGATTTATTATATATGAAGATCAGAGAGAACACAAACACATTTCCACAGGTCTAGGAAACCAGGACATGTAAAGTGCAGAGGCAATTACATTTAAGTCTCTTTACTCAGCAGTACAACACATCTTCCCCTCTCAGTACAAACTATACACATGATGCACATGGGTTAGTGGTGCGAGTTTAATTCTGCCATAGAAACTAACATTTCAGTGCATCATTTAAGTTTTTGTTTGCTAATAAATAAAATTAAGCAAGAAAACTAGTGTTAATGGTCTTGTTGTTCTCTGATCTGCATATAGATTCAGTACCATATTTGGTGAAACAGCAAAAGGCAACTATGGAATGGCATGGATAGGTCCATTTTTCTCTTCATTTTTGGCACAATTGTTTGCATGAAATCAAGACAGCTTTGGTCCTTGTAATCCAAACTCTGGAAACAGCGAGGGCTCTGTGCAGTAAATGCTTTCCACAGGGTTAATGTGGCACGAAAGTCTGTGCTAGCTTCCATCAGCTGTTTCTCCATGCCAGCTACGGCCGAGTAAATTCCAGTTCACTGCTACCAGCGACCACTGATGCTGGCTATGTCGGAGTGATATTGCCGTGGCAAACGACCACTTGCTCCACCTTCTAGAAATGCTGAGCGAATACTTGGAGGCTCAAAGGGTTTTTGACAGTTTTTGTTCAATTCTGTAAAGGGTGTGAAAAGGGAAAAAAAAAAAATCATCATCTCTGAGGTCCAAGCATCAGAATTAAGACTCTGGTTTAATGATTGCAGTTACGTGTATAACATGTGGTAACAAGTTGAAACATTAAGCTTCTCCCTTGCTGTTTGCATTCAGCAAGACCTGGACAGCATTCCAGATTGGGCTAAATGACAAGTCATGTTAACGTCATATTAGTGCCAGACAATGACCATCAACAAGAGAAAATTGAATTAATCTCCCCTTGACATTCAGTGGTATTTTTATCAAACAAACCACCTCCAATACCCCAGAGGGTGATATTAACCAGAAGCTTAGCTGTACCAGCCATATAAATGCTGTGGTTACTTGCGTACCACAGAGGTTGGGAATTGTGTGGCTCAGCTCCGATTCCCAAAATCTACCTAACAATTACAAGGTACAAGTCAAGAGTGTGCTGGAATACTCTCTTCTTGCCTTTATAGATTGCAGCACCAACAACACTCAAAGAAACTCAGCACTATCCAGGACAAAGCAGTCTATGTGGTTGACATTTCATCTACCACCTTAAACTTCACTCACTGGACAATGGCAGCAACAGTGTATATTATCCACGAGATAGACTGGAACAATTCACCAGTGTGCTTTCGACAGCACCTTCCAAAACTACAGTCTCTACCACCTGGAAGGACAAGAGCAGCAAACATATTGGGACACCACCACCTGCAAATTCCTCTTCAAGTCACACCATGTTGTGATTTGGAACAATACTTTTGCTCATTGTTAGAACAGAGCAGAACCAGCAAACAAATTTCAAGTTGCTGCATTTTCTGCAACTCTGTCTGGATCATTAGTCATGTAAATTTTATGCAGAAGCTCTGACAAATCTGGGGGATAGCTTTGCCATCAGATTCTGGGTGTCTTTTTGAAAATTGCCTTACTATGAGCTGTCTAGCTAATAGGCATCCATCTATCAGCCCCAAACAATTCTCATTTCATTGCAGTGAATTGTAGAATCCCGACAGTGTGTAAAAAGGCCATCCAGCCCATCAAGTCCACACCGGCTCTCCAAAGAACATGCCACACAGACTCACACCTGTAATCCTGCATTTCCCATGGCTAACCCACCTAATGTACACATCCCTGGACACTATGGGCAATTTAGCCTAACCTGCACATCTTTGGACCGTGGGAGGAAACCGGAGCACCCGGAGGAAACCCAGTCAGACACTGGGAGAACGTGCAAACTCCACACAGACAATCGTCCGAGGCTGGAACTGAACTCGGGTCCCTGGCGCTGTGAGGCAGCAGTGCTAACCACTGTGTCACTATACCGCCCAGTCACACAGATTGTATTCCATTTGTAATTGTTGCTGCATCAAACTGCAGATAGCATCAATAACACGGATCATATGTGGATAATACAAGGATCGTTGGTTCCACTCTGCCGGTGGCAAATAGGCTGCTTGCTTTATCAAATGCTCATTGTGTTTGGAAAGTATCTGCCAAGCAGTTTGCACTCAGTCAATGTACTATGTATACAATAAACTCTTTAACAAGCCATCAGCTGGTTTCTCATCAGCAATGGCCAGTCAACTCTCATGGCATCTCTTCGGGGAAGCATGTTCATTCTCCAGTAGCAATAGAATTGCTTTTTATCAGATTGCTCAGGTACCTTTGCCAAATTGTGTGGTTAAAGAAAATTGCACAAGCATTGACACTAATTCATCTCAATGTATACACAAATCAAGTATGAATAGGAATCTATATATAATTATGTTGGACAATTACTATTGGGGCTGATAGATAGATGCTTATTATGCAGACAGTTTATAGTCAGGCAATTTTCAAAAAGAGACCAGATTATGATGGCAAAGCTACCTACCAGATTTGACAGAGCTTCCCCTTAAAATTTATATGAGCAATGATTCAGATATAGCTGCTGAAAATACAACTTGCGATGTGTTTGCTGGTCCTGCTCTGTCCTAACAAGGGCTAGTAGCCTCAGGCTAATCAGTCCACCAATATCTCCCAGTTTAACATCAGGGCCATGGCTTTTAGAGTCATCTTATTACAAAGGCACCCAGAATATAACTGGAGGAAAGATGTCATGGCTGAGTGAAAGACAACACAACATTTATTATTTTGACATAGTTTAGACAATTAGAGTTCACAAAAGCACAAAGATTGAATTTCTCCCTCTTTTTTCACCTTTGTGGTACATATAGCACACATATCAAGTGTATTGTTACTTGCAACTTAATTTGTATACAATGTTTAAAAATGACCAAATATGGTGCGCATCTTTATAATAAGCTGGGAAGCTCACTGAAGAAACTGGACAGGGCTTGTGAGTGTAAAATCTGTTCCCACACGACAAAAGTATTAATTGAAAAATTAAGTTTGAAGCTGAGGGGACAGTCAGAAAAGAGGAATGTGCTCAGCGTAAAAATAAATGAACAACAGAGACTGAGAGCAGGCAGACAGCTTAGAGCAGAAATTCAATATTCTGAGGGTGTTTCACAGATACACTGTGTTGGCACCTGGACAACAGCAATGACTATAGACAGATTTTAGGAATCATGTAACAGCGTAATATGGATTGCTGTATTTACTTGCATATTTGATTTGTCTCCAAGTGAATCTAGGGATAATTTACTATGTTAAAAATGCTATATAAATGCAAAAGCAGAATAGGGTGGAATAAAATCGGAACAGGTTGGAAACACTCAACAGTTCAGGTGGTTAGGTGTTGGTAGAGGAACAGAGTTAACATTTTAGGCTGATTACCGTTCGTCGGAACTGGATAGAGTTAAAGATGCATCAGGTTTTAAACAGATACTAAAGCAGGGAAGGGAGGAAAGGATAAAAAGGAGAGGACTGTGATAGGGTGGAAGGCAGGAGACATTAAAGTACAAAGGGAAATGAAGCTGCAAGGCAGGAGAACGTGGTGACAGATCAAGAAAATAGACAAAAGCTTGGTCAAGATGAGGAATAAAACAGCTAAAGTGGGACCATTATCAATGATTTCTGGCCAAAAAGAAAGGCTATTATTTGAAATTGTTGAATTCAATGTTGAGTTTGGAAGGCTGCAACATGCCTAATCAGAAGTGGAGGTGTTACTCCTGCAGGGTCATTCAAACAGTGGATAAAACACTGAGGTTGCAGTGGAAATGTGAGGGAGAATTAAAATGACAGGCGACCAACAGCTCAGGGTCACCTTGCGTCACGTGACCTAGGGGATACTCAGCTTGTTCAGAAAGCAGCTCAGATCCAAACCGTTCAGCCTCGTTTCTTGCCAATGCTGACTGATCGGCATTTGTGAGACTTCCCAATCTTTCCAATTTCTTTTGAAACTCCATCCAATTGCAACCCCACACCCAAAAAAAACCCCGAAAAGCCCAAATTCATACTTGTAGTTTGTTTTCGATTTGAAAATGCAGTTGATTTAATCTGTTTTTGTTTTGTGAAAGGGTAATGTATCCAAGGTGTGTTAGACAACCATTTATGCAGCATCCAGATCACCGCATTCAGTGGTGGGCAACAATACCACAGGTAAAATACACTGGCCTCAGAAGCAAGAGTCATGAGAATGATACTGTGGCTGCAAGGGTTAAATTACAAAACCAGGCCCTGTTAACTTTCTGAGGAAGGGTCCCGACCCGAAATTTCAGCTTACCTGCTCCTCTGATGCTGCCTGGCCTGCTGTGTTCCTCCAGCTCCACACTGACTCCAGCAGCGGCAGTTGCTATTAACTATCCTGTTAACTCTGGCCTGTTTGTAGGGGATCATAGACTTGAATGATTGATGCGTTCGAAATGTTAAAGAGATCGATGAGGAAGAGACGGGGAAATTATTTCATCTGCTGGGGGCACCAAGAGCAAGGGAATATGATCTTACCGTTGGAGCTGGCCCATTCAAAAGGAAAGTCAGAAAACAATTACCTCTCACAGAAGGTTGTGGAAATCTGTACTACTCTCTCCCCAAAAGAAAAGAGCAGAGATGCTGAAACTTTCAATACTGAGCTTGATAGATTTTAGTTAGCGATGTGTGTGCAAAGGCAGGTTAATGTACATAGAGTACAGATCAACCAGGACCTAATGGGATAGTGGGGCAGGCTGACAAGGTTAGCTAGCTGACTCCTGTTGCTATACAGACAGAGTTACGATGGCAATGGGGCGCTGTGTTAACATGACATGCCCGTTTGAAAGTCTGGCAGTAGTTTGTAATTTTCATTGTCGATTCTGCTCATTTGAATTCACCTGCAGATGCTAACCCAGGTCAGATCTCAAATGCTGATTGGATCAAATTGTTTTCTGAGTAGTACTAGTGTCCTTCATGCATCCATGTCCACTAAAAGTGTGGACTGTACTGGGCTGCCACACCATCCAGGAGGAAGGGCTTGAGAGAGAGAGTGCACTGACTCTCGGACACTGTGCTCAAAGTTCCTGCTGGTGCAGGGTTCACCTTTCACCCTCTGGTGTGGCTGTACCCTCCGCACTCCCGTTTCAGTCCCCACTTCCCATTGCACCTGGAGATCAGGATGAATCCTGAGCAAGGTGTCAGCTACTAATCACTCCCTTTCTCCAGGTGACTCCTGTCCAAATAAGGTAGAGTAGCACAGCACTCACTCGTTTTTTCTTAGGTGAAGTCCTCAGGGGATTTCCGGAGTAAATGTTGACAGACCTTGGGTGAAGTCTTGACACACTCTCCCAGAAAGTCTTCTGATGTGTTTCAAAAGTCCTCTTCAAACCTCCAGCAGTAAGTGAACAGTAAAGGAGCATTAAATAGCGCTCCAAATTCTTAGCAATTCTCACTTACTTCCCAGTTAGCTGGACACATTTAGGAGGGGGGTGGGATTTGGCCTTGCAGCTTCATTAATGTGCCCTAGTGGGCATTTTTAATGGCCATTCAGTCCCTTAACAATCCTCTGATGCTCTTCCTAGCCCAGGCTTTAATCCCATGGCATCTTGTGCTGAACACAGTCTAGGCCAGCCTTTCAGCTCAAGGCCCCATTCCTGGCCATTCCAAGGCTTCTTAGTGCCTCAGGTGCCCAACGAGAACAGCCCCCTATACATTTTGATAGAAGGCCATACAACCGATTGAAATTTGGTGTTACCAATGGATGTTGTCAGGGAGTTTCTGCATACCCTCATATTAGTGAGGTCTCACACACACACACACGCTAATTATTTTAATCATTACACTTCACTGCTTAAAAACTCTAAACTGCTTTACGAAAACAGCAACGAGCCTTGAGTGATGCTTTCCGACACATTTAATCCTGTAGGCAGTTGTCAGGCCCTGTTTATGGGGGATATGCGTTTACCGCCAGCCTGACTACCACCAGGGCTTAACATGTTAAATAAGCCATGTGTTTCAAAGACAAGCTATACTAAGGATGATGCTCAATATAGCTCTCTTAAGTACAATTACTACATCAGTCAGACATTGTGTAATTTTTAATGACCGAACTTCTTGTACCCAGTACTGGATGACTACAAAATTTCCTCCAAGTTAAGCTGGAAGACCACTAGCCCTGATTTTGGTCACTACCAAAATCTCTGTCCCCCAGTCACCAGCTCCATACTCTCTCTTCATTAACTGTCTAAGGCTCAGTCAGGTTCTTTGCAACCTTGGTGTCATATTTGACTCACCGATTGGTGTCTGACCTGTGCCCTCACTAAAACCACCTTTTCCACCACTGGGAATCCAGCTCCACGCTATCACTGCAATCTATAACAGGCCCAAAGCCCTCTGGGTCTCTGTCCTCTTCCCATTCTAACCTCTCCAAAATCTCCACTTCTAAATGCCCCAGCGTTGGTGACCATTCTGTTAGCTACCTCAGCCTAAAACTTTGGAATTCCTACAGTTTGCAAACTTCCTTTCTGTCTTGAAGATGCTCCTTTCAAAGATACCTCTTTATTCCGACTTTTGGTCATCTCATCTAATATTTCCTTGATGAGGCTCCATCTCACATTATGTTTGCTAATGCATCTCTGAATCTCTTTTAGGTGTTTTACCATATTAAAGGTGCTTTATAAATAATAAACAGTTGTGTTGGTTAACATAGACACTACACCCCGCTACACTCCCTCTCTCGGAGACTGATGTCGAACAACAACTTATACATCAAGCCAGCCCCTCTATGATTTGGGCGGCATTGACATTTCTGCAGCATTCCTTTACATTTCCACAATACCATTACATAACTGTATTGATTTTAGACACTTTGGAGATGTTGGGACTGGAAGACAGCTTTATCTGTGCTCTCTCTCACCATTTCCACCACCACCATCAGTTTTGCTCGCACCTTATTGGGAAAAATAAACCATTGGAAATATAAACAGGTGCTGACCTGAAATTGCAAGCAGCATTTTCCTCCTGGCACCAAACGTGGAAATTCCGAGCTCCTTTAAGTCCTGGTCAGTCAGCGTGAGGAACGTCTGAAGGTCAATCTGAGAAGACATGAAGAAGAGAGAAGTCGGTACCTTCTTGTAGGAAATGGAAGAGATAAAATCTCCACAGGCCTTACTCCTGTCTCCCCGCTCATTGCTAATTTTAAGTCTCCATTCTGCTTTCGATCCCTGCCACAACCATTACTGAATGCTGCCCATTGGTGTATCTTTAGTCTAATTTGACAATTTCTGGAGGCATCATGTGACCAATGACTTCACACAAATCAGGAACAGCCAATTACAGTTGGGATATAATGAATTTATAATGACATATCTCTACCTTGGTTTCTGGCGTATTTTGCTATAATCTTTGTTGCTTGAAGCAGTTGAACATGGAACAGAGGAATTAAAATGACTCAATGGGGAGCTACATTGTGTGAAACGAGGTGGTGTAAGGGATTTGCTCGTTTTCACCTAGGACTGGTTATGATTCAAAGCCCTAACGTTGATAGGGTACCGGGACCTTGAACGAACTAGTCTTGCACCTCCTCAAAACCAGTTTCTGCTGCATCTGACCTCATGACCTCAAGCTATCCACAATCTAATGCCAACAGAGAATCTCCAACAGTGCCTTACGGGTATAGAATCGGGAAAACAAAACTGGACTAGTTCAGCCTGGCTCTATACTTTGGTTATGTCATCGTATTGAATCTCTAGTAAAAGTATCACTCCACGTTCGGCTGCCCTGGAGATCAAAGTCCAAAACTGAAACAGTGTTCCAGTGCTGACATTGATGTTTATCATTAAACGCTGGTTTCACTATACAGCAATCCACCCAAACAAATTCCCTTTATTTCACAGAATCATAGAATCTGTACTGTGTGGAAGCAGGCCATTTGGCCCATTGAGTCCACACTGACCCTCCGAAGAGCATCCCACCCAAACCCAGCCCTGTAACCCCACATTTCCCACGGTTAACCCACCTAGCCTGCACATCCCTAGACACTATGGGCAATCCACCTAACTTACACATCTTTGGACTGCGGGAGGAAACCGGAGTACTCGGAAGAAACGCACGCAGACACAGGGAGAACGTGCAAACTCTACATAGACAGTCACCCAAGGCTGGATTGAACCCGAGTCCCTGGTGCTGTCAGACAGCAGTGCTAACCACTGAGCCAGCATGCCACCCTTTATCTGAAAGTATTCTGCGAGAAAAAGAATTCTAAAAAGTGTGAGAACAGGCCTGGGTAAGACATGAGCGACAGTCAATGTGATGTTGTTGGACTCACCTCTTGCTGCTGGAAGATATCTGTGTATTTGCCTAACCCGAGTTTACTGAAGAGTTCTGGCAGCTCTGAACCTTTGAAGGAGTTATTCAGAGTGCAGCCATTGCTCCCCATCAGAGAGGAGATGCAGTCCATATAGTTACTGCTGGTTAAGTAGTGCTCAGCTGCAGAGACAAAAATGTCAAACATTACACCAGAAATCTGACATGGATAGAACCTTAATCTCAATGAGTCTCCCATCAGTCTCAGTGAAATGAGAGGAGAGTGAATTGGAATCTCAGTTTTGGAATATGGTGAGTGATAGCTTATTCAGATCAAGGTCCATTTAGTTTGCCTTCTACCATCCAATGCTAGCATCCCATGATATGATTTCGATGAACTGTTACAAACGACGTCCTCTATTCAGTTTTGCACCTCCAATCAACCTTGCTTTAACACACTGACATTCTGGTAACTCCTGGGGGGACATTTCCCACTCTTAGCTGGAACCAGAACATCTCATCAACTGCACTTCTAATTTCCATTCTTCTCTCACTATCACCTGGTCCGTCTAAGATGCTTCCCTTCCCTTCCTTTAGTGCTTGGTCTCCAATTCTGGGAGTAGACTGTCTGCTGCTATCCATTACAAGCTTCCTGGCCCCCATAGCTATCTCAAATACATTTCCTCACTTCAATACTGCTTCCTGGAAGGACTTCATTGTATTCTCTCAGGCACATATGTTCTGATAAAATTGCTTTGCTCAAAAATACCTCTGACATGTTTTCCTTCTCCTTCCATTGAAGATAACCCCACACCCAACCAATTTGGCTAACATCCTAAAACACGCACAACAATGCTCATGGGATTTGGACATTGCCCCTTATTATCCACCTCTAACTGGCCTTGCAACAATGACAGTGAGTTACCTTCTTTAACTGTGGTACTCCTTGGGGTTTAGGAAGTGGTTAGGAGAAGGAACGGTCCCAAGTCAGAATGATGAGTGATTTGAAAGGGAACTTGCAGATGGTGTTCCCATGTATCTGTTCCCTTGTCTTTCCAGGTGGTAGAGATGCGAATTTGGAGCACCTTTTCCTTCCTACCAGAACTACAATAGGGTTCCCTTTTTTTTTATTCTACCTCACCAAGTTCACATTCATTTCTGCCACATCCAGTGTGGTCACCACCAAAAGCATCCTCCACTCCCCTCCCCCGTTAGCATTCTGTAGGGACTGTTCTTTCTGTGACACCCTGGGCCACTCCTCAATCACCTCCAACACTTCACACCTCTCCACATGCACTGAAATTTCCTCCTTCCTCACTGTCTAAGGTCCCAGACAAAGTCCTTCCTGTTGAAACAGCAATTGGCTTGCCCCACTTTCTAACTTTTTTTTGCTGCTGTCAATGTGATCTCCTCTAAAGTGGGAGGGAACCAAACGCGGATTGGATGGTGACTTTGTGAAACACTTCTGTTCAAGCTGCAAGCATGACCCAGATCTTCTGGTTGTTTGTCATTTTAATTCACCATCTTGCTATCATGCTCACATTTCCCAGGCCAGCCGAGTGTTCTGGGGAAGCTGAAAGCAAACTCCAGAACAGCATGGTTTCAAGTTAGTCACTGCAGAGCCTTCTGGACTTAGAGTTCAACAATTTCAGGCCATGAACTCTGGCTCAAATTTTGATTTTTTTTGCCAATTGTTTTTCTTATCTGGTTTCTCATTTTTATTGCTTTCAGGCTGAGCTGCTCATTATTTTGATATTTACACCCTGGACAAATGTTCCACCTCTTTACAATAACCTTTGGCACTCCCTTTGCCTTCTGTTCTGTGCCAAACTTGTCCTTTAATATCTCCAACCTTTTATCCGATCCAAACCCTTCCTTTTGTTTTTCCACCTCTCCTCCCCTTTGCAACAGCATAAAACTGATCACAGTTCCACCTTCCTTCAATTCTGACAAGCCACATTCCACTTGTATCATAGAATCTCTATGGTGCAAAAACAGGCCATTCTGCCCATCGAGTCTGCATTAACCCTCCAAAGAGCATCCCACCCAAATCCAAACCCCCACCCCATCCCTGTAGCCCAATATGGAATTTTTACCATGGGTAATTCACCTAGTCTCCACATCCCTGGACATTATGGGCAATTTAGCATGGCCAATCCACCTAACCTGCACATCTTTGGACTGTGGGAGGAAACCAGAGCACCCGGAGGAAACCCACGCAGACACGGGGAGAATGTGCAAACTCCACACAGACAGTCACCCGAGGCTGGGATCAAACCTGGGTCCCTGGTGCTGTGAGGCAGCAGTGCTAACCACTGTGCCACCGTGCCTGCCCTTGAAACATTAACTCTGTTTTTCTCTCTCCGCAGAGGCTGCCAGTTCTGCTGAGTTTTCTGCAACACTTTCTGTTTCACTTTCAGATTTCATTTCAGATTACTGCAATGTCTGCAGTACTTTGCTTTTACAACATTTTTCCCTGCCCTGGAGAGGGAACAGAGCCAGAAGTGGAAACGATTATCTCAATCCACAGCAAAGATATTTCTTCTAACTCTGCACAAGGTGACGATAAGTTAGCCAGTCTCACTCAAACAGGGTTTAACTGCTATGGACTGTCTTCCTAAAACAGCAACTGCTCCTCACGAAGCTGTGTTCATGCAAGCAGGCTGCACTTCCACCTTGACACAACGACCACTGCCTGTGACAGAAATATTTTGCCATTTTTATTACCGCACAGCAGGCTAGCAGGAGGGAACTAAAATCAGGAAGGGAAACATCAATGGTGGGAACATCAATTAACAATGTCCTGACTGTACTCGCTCCAAATTCACCGGGGGATAAAACAATTGGAACCTTCCTTTCTTCACAAATGCTGAATGTACACATTGAGAGATTACATTTGGCACGATGCGGATTCGCTCACGGGCACAGTGAGGAGCTAGTTACGTTTCATTATGGTACAACAACAAGATTCAAAAAGCAGGGATAAGGTTTAACTGCAGCAACATTATGGGATGGTGAAAGGAGAGATTGTAATGAGGGACACCTGTTGAAAATACAATGAGCAACTTCTTTACTACTTCAGGCACAAGCTTCAGGAAATGACAGACTTGATGATATCTTACACTCCATTCGCTCAGTGGGTTGCATGGACCTGCCTAAAAGGGTGGCAGACACAGAAACTCGCACGGACCCAGAGCATGAAGGTGGCTGGAATTCCGAGGAAGGGTCACTGGACCCAAAACGTTAAACGACCTGCTGAGCTCTTTCAGCAATTTCTGCTTTTGTTTATGAGAGTAGCTGGGTTGCTCCTTATGGATCTAGAATCACAGAATCGTTGAATCCCTAGGAAGAAGCAGGCCATTTGGCCCATCAAGTCCACACCAACCCTTTGAACAGCATCCCACCCAGACCCAGCCCCCTACGCTATCCCTGTAACCCTGTATTTCCCATGGCTAATTTACCAAACCTGCACATCCCTAGACATTATGGGCAATTTAGCACAGCGAATCCACCCTAACCTGCACATCTTCAGACTGTGGGAGGAAATCAGAGCATCTGGAGGAAACCCACACAGACACGGGGGAGAATGTACAAACTCCACACAGTGTGTTGCCAGAGGGTGGAATCAAACCCGGGTCTCCAGTGCTGTGAAGCAGCAGCACTAACCATTGAGCCACCGTGCTGGACCTGCACAGAAACAATGGACTAAATGGTTTTGTCCAATGTTGCAACTTTTTTTTTTAATCATTTCGCTGACTGGGGAGGCCCTGTTTTGGGGCTGCAAGAGGGAAGCTGTACCAAGATATAGCTGACCCGAGACTGTAAAGAACACAAGTGTAGAAAATGACTTCTGCCTATCTACGAATGTTTTATATACACAGCACACAACAGTTGCCTATCAGTCATGCTTATAATAAACTTTAACAACATTAAAGATATGAATAAAGATGCTTCTGATAAAATGTGCCACTCGCTTTCTTTTAACTTTTCAAGACTCGCTGTCAGGGGCCAACTCAGCCAAGATCAGGAAATGAGAATTCCAATGCATTTTAAAGATGTAAACACTTCAACATGTTTTGTACTGGGATATGGGGCTGGAATTTTATTCCGAAGTTCACTTGAGGCCCCACATTTCAGGCATGCCAGCACATTTTTTTATTTAAAAAGAAATATTTGACTATTCCCATTACAGGGCTATTATAATATTATTTTCACACTGGAAATCCAAAGTTTGATCCTCCATCTGTGGCTGTGGGTCCAAAAAAAAAGCCATAAGCCTGGAACTTTTGGACGAACTGACCTTCTCAAGACTGAGACCAATGGATCTCTTCCCAGGAAGGCATTCAAGGAATTGGGAGAAAAGGCAAAATTCAGGTGAGGTACAATCTTAGAGATGACAGAACAGGTTGGAGGAGCTGATTGGCCAATGGCCAACAGTTTGGGGTCTTGCCTGAGGAGGAATTTTCTACCCCTCTACAGAGCAGAGAATTATGACCGAGTGGAATTTAAACTACAAGAAAAGGATTGAGGCTATTTTATAGAATTGTGACATTGGAGTTGTTGGTTGGTTCACTGAGCTGACTGGTTTTCATGCAAACGTTTCATCTCCCTTCTTGATGACATTGTCAGTACTGTGTAGCCTCTGTTGAAGCGCTATTGTTCTGTTCCACTCTGAATTTATATGGTCCGTTCTGTCATGGTGGACAGTTTGTTTCCGGTTTTGTTCCATAGTGGTATGTCAATGGGGTCTATTTCAATATGTTTCTTTATTGCATCGGTGGTTGAAAACCAGGCCTCCAGGAATTCTCATGCCTGTCTTTGTCTCACTTGCCCTAGTACTGTAACTTTGTCCCAGTTAAATTGATGTCCTTCATTGTCGGAGTGTGTTGAAACGAGGTAGAATTGGTCATGCCGTTTTGCTGCGAGTTGGTGTTCATGTATCCTGGTGGTGAGTTCCTGCCAGACTGTTGTATGTAGAGTTTCTCGCAGTTGCTGCTGGTATTTTACATATCAAATTTGTCCTGCTCATTGTGGCTATGGGGTCTTTTGTCTTTGAGAGTAATTGGCAAACTGTGACGGTTGTTTTGTGCGCTATCCTTATTCCAAGAGGTTGTAGGAGTTTTGTACTCAGTTCTGATGTGTTGCTAACATAGGGTAGGATGACCAGTGTGTCGGGGCATACAGTGTCTTCTTGGTGTTGTTTGTTTTCCATGCATCGTCGGACGAAGTTGTTAGGATACCATTGTTTGCAAAAATTCTGTATAGATGTTCCTGTTTGTTTTTGCGCAGCTCCGGGGTGTTGCAGTGAGTTATCACTCATTTAAACAGAGTCTTGACACAGTTCTGTGGATGCTGGGGTGGTTACTGTTGTAATTTAGGGTTTGGTTTGTGTGTGTAGTTATTCTGTGAACGCTGGTTAGGAATTCACCTTTGTTCGTTCGTTCCACTATTACATCTAGCGATGGGAATTGATTGTTGTTCTCTTCTTCCACGGTGAACCTGATCCTGGTGAATATGCTGTTAGTAAGGTGATGTGTTTCTTCTAGCTTTGCTCGTTTAATGATCACAAAGGCATCATGCACATATCTAAGCCATAGTTTAGGCTGGATCTGGGGGAGGGGTGTGCGTCTAATCTTTGCGTAACAGGTTCCGCTATGAGTCCCTAGATGGGTGAACCCATGGGTGTTCCATTAATTTGTTGAAGATGCAGTGTGTGGTAAGGCATTGGTCTAGTAATTTTAGCATGTTGTCCTTGCTGATGGTTTCATCGGAGGTTTGTCCAGTAATGTAGCCAGTGTCTCCCTTGCTAGGTGTCACATCGATAGAGGTGACCAGTGCTGTAACATCGTAGGATACCATAATTTCCTCCTCGTAGATGTTTAAATGAGTGACAACTTACTGCAACACCCTGGAGCTGCGCAAAAACAAAGAGGAACATCTGTACAGAATTTTTGCAAACAAGGGTTATCCTAACAGCTTCGTCCGCTGATGTAGGCAAACAACACCACCAAGAAGGCACTGTATGCCCCGACACACTGGTCACCCTACCCTATGTTAGAAATACGTCAGAACTGAATACAAGACTCCTTCAACCTCTTGGAATAAGGAGAGCATACAAACCAACAGCCACACTTTGCCAGTTTCTCTAAAGATGAAATACCCCATACCCACAATGAGCAGGACAAATGTGATATATAAAATGTCGCGCAGCAACTGCGAGAAACTCTACATAGGACAAACGGGCAGGAAACCTGCCACCGGGATACACGAACACCAACTCACAGCAAAACAGCACGACCAATTCTCCCTCGTTTCAATACACTCCAACATAGAAGGACATCAAATCGACTGGGACAAAGTTACAGTACTAGGGCAAGTGAGACAAAGACAAGCATGAGAATTCCTGGAGGCCTGGTTTTCAACCACCGATGCAATTAACAAACATGTTGAAATAGACCCCATCGATATACCACTACGGTACAAAACCGGAAACAAGATCACCATGACAGACCAGACCGTATAAATTCACAGCGGGACAGAACAATGGCGCTTCAACGGAGGCTACACAGCACTAACAATGTCACCTAGAAGGGGGACGAAATGTTTGCATGAAAACCGGTCAGCTCAGCGAACCAACCAACAACCGCAACCCGAGCTACAGATCTTTGTTGAAACATCAAAGAATTGAGACATGATAGTGCACTGATCCCATCTTCATTGGCTCATCTACACCCTTTTGTATAATCATTTTATGAAATTCATCTGATTCCTGTCATATTAACCACCAACCTTCCTTACCAGCTGCAAAAATCTTGGACAGTTGAATTAAACACAACCTTGGCAACAAAACTGCAATTACGTTTAACACTCTCACTCCTCAAGATTACAGCACATTCTAAAGAGGAAAGCCCTCAGTCACAATACCTGAAATGCTTACATGGGTTATTTTTTTGCTTAGGGCTGTTGATGGAAGATGGGAATTCACTGTGAGAACCATTCCGATCTCTCCAGTTATCGGAATCACTGCCGTCCCCAATATACTCCCGACTGTTCGATCGTGAAAGCGACACTGGTGACGATGACTGCAAGGCAAGATGATGATTAAAATGGCACTCGTGCTTCTCTTACGAACGTGTAAAGATGTTACTGAACTCTGTTCACATGTGGCATAATGCGACCTAAACTGTGTTAAGTCTTGGAAAGCAATAAATCAACTGAATCATTCACTGTTCTTCAGACAGGATCCATTATCCAGAGTATTATTTCCCCTCTCAAGGAACAAGTTGCAGCTTTTCCAAGTGGTGTCTCAGTCTTTAGGGAAATCAACTCTGCATTGATTCCTCATCCCAATACAGTGACAGCTGTCCATTCAAAGACCAAAAACCACTCATGAGGGATCATAATTATATTAAGTTTTAAAATAATTAGCTGGAAGAGCAAAAGCCAGTGTGGGCATAGTTTGGACACTATGAGAAAGCGTTTGATAGGGTCAACCATTTGAAAAGAATGAAAACCAGAAATGATAAATGGACAATTCAGGGTCTATACTGGAATCAATCAGCAGGATTGTGCTACATCCAGGAAAGCATTCAATCTGCACACTGAAGCTGAATTCAGAGATGAACCAGGATAGAAACAGTGGGGGCTGCACATTGACAGTTTGAGAAACACAGATTTCACTGTCAGCGTAGATGCAGTGTCAGAAGAGACATGACAGGAAACTGTAAGCAAAATGAAAGCACAAAGTGAGGAAGGTGCACCCTGGAAGTGAAAACTTCTGTAAACAGTGCTGGAACAGGTGAAAAGATTTACAGACCTTGGGTGGATGATCACAGATGATGCAAGATCTGAAGGAGAATTGAGCTTTGTCAGAATGAAGGATGTGTTAATGTCAAAGAAACTGAATTTTAGGAAAGAAATCTTAAGTGCTACATCTGAAGTGCCACAGAGGCACAGATAACAAACAGGGAGACTACTGAATATTGCTGGAGTGGTGTTGCTGAAGTTTTACACTCATAGAATGCCAAATTTCAAACAAATATAACAATTTATACTATAAAAGAAAATGTCCTGATTGGTTGGTAAGTTATCTCTGATGGCTGAGCTGTTACCCTGAAGAATGCAACAGGGATCTACAGGTTCCCTAAGCTACCAGCAAATTCAAAAAGAGGGGCAGAGCTTAATCAAGTTCTTGATTGTCAAGGGGATCAAGGGTTACGGGGAGAAAGTGGGAGAATGGGGTTGAGGAACTTATTAGCCATGATTGAATGGCGGAGCAGACTCGATGGGCCGAACAGCCTAATTTCTGCTCCTGTGTCTTATGGTCTTATAGCACACTCCTTTTTTTTTCACCGACATGGGTCCCGATGTAAGAATGTCACTTCTAGCAAGTGTAAAGAAGCCACATTATGAGCCTGACTGATTGTCTTGGGTGTTGGCATTACTCCTGACACACTCAGGACTGTTCAGCAAATGTTGCCCATTTATGGAATTACATCTAATAGATCACATTTTGTTATGGATTTTCCCGAGTGTGGGCTGCTTGTGGATGGTCTATGCTCTGTCAATTAAAAACAACCAAAGGAACAACCTGTTTGATCAGCCAATTATTGAGATGTGCAGGTTACATACCTGGCATTGCACCAGCACTGAAATTCAGACATGAATGTTGCTAAGTTGGACTCCAAAGTAGAATGTCCTCCTGGATTAATGGCAGCCAAATATCTAATTGTGTCACTACTGCAATATGACATGGCTTGCTTAACCTGTTCAATCTTTTCTTCAAATATTTGTCTTTTCCAGGGTTATTTGTGGTAGACCAGATACAGTTCAGGTCTGAAAGTGATGGCCCACTTGCAAATCCAAGCTATGATCCGATCAGGATAGTTACTTTCCTCCAGGATAGCTTGGATGCACTCTTCACGCATCAAGTTTGCGAAGTATGCGACTGGCTAGGGCCCTAAATTAGAAGATTGTTGAAAAGGTCAATCCTGAAGAGAATGTGAATGCATTTGAGGCATGAGCAGTTTGGAGATGTCCTGCAAAGTCACTGCAGGAGGCCAGAAATTCCAGGCATAACTGATATTCCTGGGCTTAGCTATTCCCATGCATGAACAAAAGCAAGAACAGTTAATGAAGCAAGTGATGGCCGGGCTGACCTTCCAATATAATTAGTTAAGACCTGCCTGACAGTTTAGTGAGGTATTGAAAGGGCATCAATCCATAAAAGGATGCAGACACAGACAGCAAGTCCCAGGGCTCTCCCCAAACACAGTCAGAAAGCACACAACACCTGGTGATAGACCAACAGCTCTATTTGAAATCATAAGCTTTCGGACCGTTGCTCTTTCATCAGGTGAAGTGAACTGCCTGGCTAGGTCTAGAATCTTTCTGGGGCTGGCAGATTAACCCACAGCAATAACTTCAAACTTGAATGCTTTCCTACAGGCTGTGACATAACAGTACTTTAAAAACAATGCGTCACACAACAGGACATTCATCTCCTTCCCGACAGGGAACTGCTCAGCAGAAAATCCAACTACCTAATAGGAAACCAGAAGAATGGCTACCTGAGAAAGAAAGGAAGGAAAAATCTCTTTGAGTTTGATGGAAGAAAACAAAGGGAGAGTGTACTTGATGGGAATGCAGAGCAAACACTGTGTAAAGATGGTCTCTTTTTATTTTCCTCTATTTTTCATTGTGGACTGAAATGGGGAAAAACGGTTTTAAAAAACTATGGATTGCTGAAGGATGGCTACAGTTTTAAAAGCAAGGAACCTCACCCTCATTGTAAGCACTGTTTACACAGCTGCTGGTTCATGCAGTCAAAGTGCAGTCTGCAGACAAGCTGGAGCTGAGGGCTGTGTACGAGTGGAAATTTAGCTAGCAACAAATAGCTGATTGACATTGATAACTGGTCACTGGAGCATAGCCAAAGGCCTTCTGCTTGCCAATAATGACATGATTGGTTCTCAGATAGATAAACACTTGGAACTGTGGAGAAGAAAGACTGAGAAACAGCATTCTGATCAGCGCAAGAATTATCTCAGCAGATCCTGTGGACAGACACCACTGAACTGTTTCCCAGTTTTCCCGTCATCTAAAACACTGACATTTTCTCATGTGTATGCATGCAAATTTGTGTGTCTGTCTGTCTGTGCATGTACGTGGGGTGGGGTGGGGGGGGTGAGGTGTGCGTAAATTTATAAGGTGTTAGAAATTTAACTAGTAGAGATATATGCAGATGGCCCATACTGTTTACCTGTAGGTTCAGTCTATTTACTTGTAAGCAAAAACAATTCTCCATAAGTACAGAAACTTGGCCTACATATTCTGGTCCAATCAGCAGTTCAGGCTCTAGCTGGATGCGGAGGCCACTTGCTATAGGGCTGTAATTATCATAAAGCAAGTCCAGGCTACCAGTCGTTTGTTCAAATTCCAGGCAGGCCATTGAAAGCTTCCAACTGTGAGAGATTTGCACATTTTCCTGGAATTGAGGTAGCAAGATGGCCAACCACGAGTCACATCTGACTTGCTCCTGCAAGTCAAAAAGTCACTGGAGACTATGAGTGATAATTTGTCACCATTTCTAGAAGGAAAATCAGGAAGACTGCAAGTGGTCTGACTTGTCTTCTGTTTACCAGAATGGTGTTCTAGTGGGACACAAACATACATTTCTAAGTGTTATTGGGTTTTCTTTCCTACTTTATTTGTTTCCCTCTGGCTTGTTGAATGGCTGCCTTGAGGAGGGGGTTGTGGTGCAGAAGACGAGAGGAGAAAAAAAATAGATGGAGAGGCAAGTGATGGAGAACAACATTGAGAAAGAGGTTCAGGATGATAATTTTGGAGGTAGAGAGGATAAGAGGGGAACGGATGGTAAGTGAGAAAGAGAGAGAGAGAAAGACACACAGACAAATGCATTTTACAAAATACAAAAGAAGGGACAGGCAGGAAGTTGAGGCAACAATGAATCAGATTAGAGATAGTAGGAACTGCAGATGCTGGAGAATCCGAGACAACAAGGTGCAGGGCTGGATGAACACA